CGCCTCAAGGTTGTGCGTGTTGTGGCTTCACAAATGCTTTTCTGCATACCTCGGTTGTAACGAGTGGTTATTTCAGTCAAAGTTGCTCTTCTATCAGCTTGAATCAGTCGACCCACTCTCCTCTGACCTCTAGCATCAACAAGGCATTTTCGCCCACAGGACTGCCGCATACTGGATGTTTTTCCCTTTGCACACCATTCTTTGTAAACCCTAGAAATGGTTGTGCGTGAAAATCCCAGTAACTGAGTATTTCACAATCTGCTCAGACCGGCCCGTCTGGCACCAACAACCATGCCACGCTCAAAATTGCTTAAATCACCTTTCTTTCCCATTCTGACATTCAGTTTGGAGTTCAGGAGATTGTCTTGACCAGGACCACACCCCTAAATGCATTGAAGCAACTGCCATTTGATTGGTGGATTAGATAATTGCATTAATGAGAAATTGAACAGGTGTTCCTAATAATCCTTTAGGTGAGTGTATAAACTACTAGTATGTAATACCAACTAATCCACAGATTCAGTTCTCATGACGACGAAGTAGCCAAGCTACAGGCAAGATAAAGATTAAAAAAAAGTTCTTCTTTGCGCAGGAAAAATCTAGAAGATATCCAATGCATCACTCCCGATACCAAAAAAAAAATACGCCAGCTTTGGCACTTTTTAGTAACCCTTGCTCCTCAGTTCATTGAACCTATTCTCGGAATGCCATGAAAATCATTACTAAACTCTACTAACTTGTAATATCCATAATTCTTCAAGTCTTTAAGGATCTTGACCCTAGTGTTTTCAGTGAAAAAGTTAAAAATTAAGAGCCAGGTCAGAGAGTGCTGGTTGAAGCGGTGAGCAACACAGTGAAAGTGGGTGGGGGCAGCCAAATGGATGGGATGGCTCATTACGTGCTCAGATGCCTTATTTTAAATGCAAAGCTCTCATCCCCTCAGTGAGTCAGCCGCTAAGATCCTTTCTTTCGTCTCCCTTAAAAGAGAGGAACAATATGCATTACTGTCATGCAGCGCATTAGCAAGAACGACCTCAAACAAAACAACCATCAACGGGCAATAAAGGATGCACGTACATCGCTTTGATCTTCTGGTGACAAGGCCACCAGTGTTACAACCACCACCCCGAGGCATTGCGTGCCTCCTGCCCATTTCACCCCATGGCAAGTGATGGTCATCATCAGAGGCGGAAAATCAAGCGCACATTCCCCCTTAGCTGATTATTCCCATTCTGGCACACAAAGCCAGGCAAATAAACATGCACATTATCGTAATTTGTACAAATAAAGACATGGAGGGGGTTAGATGTAAGAGGAATGAGGGCCCTCCAGGAAGGAGAAGGAAAAGGTCCAGTCCGTGTATCTCAGGGCCTGAGAGGGCCACTGACGGTTCCGCATAAACAAAACAGCCCCATGATTGATGCCTTTTGTCATTGGTTAATTTAGCCTCTCTGTCTCCTGGGCTGTCAGAGCCACAGCTGCTTCTACAGAGAGCCTCCCATTGCTCCTCAATGAGTCTTCTCAGAACCTGGATGGGTCTTCAGGAATATATGGGAACATCGCTCATACCGGGGACTGATCAGCTGCTGCTTGGGGGAGAGGCCAGGGGAACTGTTGCCTCTTCCTGTCTACTCATGATGACCATTAGCGTGGTGCCTCTGATAGGGTGACAAGATATCCCCTGAGGTGGCTCTTATCAGTGAGACCAATGTTACACTACTCAAGGAAAAGGAATAAAGTTACACATTTTCCCTCTCATGTCACACAGGCACTAAAATTAACATTGAGCATTTGATGAATTGAAAATATGAGCATTTGTGTCCATTGTTACTAGATTTCCAGCTACCCTGCAGCAGTTGTATTAAGGTTGTATGGCCAGCTTGATATTAACGTACCATTCAACACATCATGCTATCAATCAGGGATATTTGTTTATATATATATATATATATATATATATATATATATATATATAT